CGCAGAAATCAAGGTGGGTGGGCACGTTCCTCATTCACAGTAATTTTCCTTAGCGAGTGAGAAAGAGGGATGGGCAGCCTGCTCTGGACAGCACGAAGGCGACTGTATGCATTATATGCATTATATGCATACACAGAGGTGGATTCTCCCTCAACCAAGGATGGTCGTTAAAACTTGGACACAGGCCCTGACCCGTGTGGTTCACTTGGTTGGCCGTCAACCAGCAAAGGGAAAAGCGGTCCGTTCAATTCCCATTCAGGGCATACGCCAGAGTTGCCGGTTTGGTCACCAGATGGAGCACACATCAGACGCAACCAATCGATATTTCTCTCCCTTTCTTTCTCCCTCCCTTCCCTTCTCTCTAAAAATAAATAAAATCTTAAAAATAAAAAAAAAAAAGCTTGGACACAGGTATCACACAGACTTGGCCAGAAATCCTGCAGCCACTTAATCACATCACCTCCCTGACACCCAGAGTGGCTGTAAGATAAGGTCCTCCCTTCCCAGGGTTCTCCGAAGAGCCGGGGTTGCTGATGGTCCCCCTTGCGGATGGGCTCCTTTTCCAGGTGGACGGTAGGTAAATCCTCCTTCCTGGCAGAGAAGTCTCCTTCAGGTGGCGGGAAGGTGAGGTTAATGGAATCTGACAGCCTCACAGCCCCGCTCAGGCCCCGCAGCTCGTCCACATCCTTGTTCATCTTACATCACACTGTGAAGGGCAGGGCAGGAAGAGCTCTCAGGCTGGGAACTGGAACGTGTGGGGCAGGGGGGGCCAAGGATGCCTGAGAGGAAGGGGAGGGTTGGAGAAAACGGGTTGGGTGCCAGGGACCACAGCAAGCGATTGACTTTGAACTTTAAACTGGGAGCAGCAGGGAGCTCCTGAAAATGATCCTGCAGGGGAATGACGTGGTTAGACGTGTTGAGAGCAATCACTCTGGCTCTCAAGTGGGGAGGAATGGAAGGAGGAGTGGAGGTGGGGGGCCTTGAGGCAGAGAGACCAACAAGGAGGCTGAATAAATAAGAGCTGCAGGTTGCACTGGGGTGATGGGAGTGGGGTCTGGTTTTCCATCCATTCAAAGCCTCTGATCAGCTAGAGGTACCATTAGTAAAACTTCTGTCTTGCCCTGAGATGGTTCCCATAGGGTAAGGGGCTGCCCTGGGGCCAGGCCAGAGGAGTGGGTGACCCAACATCAAGTGATTCCTAGAGGATCTTTAATGAAAGCAGACAGCCTAGGAAGAGAGAGGTTGGGTAAAGAGAGAGGCAAGATCCTAGGCCAGGTTGGAGGGGGGGCAGTGTAGTCCAATGGTTAGAAACACATAATGACGTCACACATCTCTTTCATGTCCCAGCCCTGCCACTTCTTAGCTATGTGACCAAAGATGGGTCACTTTGCTTCTCTGATCTGCAATTTTTCCAACTGTTAAATGCAATTATGACTAGGGCTCACCCCTTGAAGCTGTTGTGGGGACGGGACAAGGGAGTGTGCATAAAACTCACTCCGGTACTTTCCACCCAACATGTGGAACCCAATGGGGGGGGCTTCCAGTTCTCAATTCCCCCTCCCAGACAGAGCCTTTTGCTGTGGCACCACGGTCATCTTGCTCCAGGCCAGCATGGCTCCAAAGACAGGCCAGCTTCAGCTGCGTAGCACACTGAATTAGGCCAAAGGAGTTCCAGCCAGAAGCAAAGGATAATGATTTGGTCAGCCCCGGGTCACATTCTGGGGGAAATGTACCATTTCTCTTCTATATTTTGAAGCATTAAAAATTAATCTCCTTGCTCTGGGAGTCTCTGGTGAGATTCTGTTTTATTTCGTTGCTTTCTTTCTTATTTTGTGGGTGCTTGTGTAGGGCAATCGCCCCACAGTACCAGTTATTGTGGACAGTGTTTTGTGTGTATTCTTTTCTGTGATCTTTATGGCGACTTTCTTACGCAGGTACTACTCGTTACTGTCTCCACTGTATAAATGAAGAAGCTGTAGCTGGAAAAGATTAACGAATGTACCTGGGTCTGTGTAACTCCAGCCCCTTTGCTCCTCGTTGTGACACTTACCTGCCCTGTGGACAACCAGTGGAAAGGTACCCAGGGCCCTGGGTTATTCCAGCAACTTCTCCCCAGAGTTCTCCAGTGAGTAGGATGCCAAGGCTTACCTAGTCCAAAAACCAATAAGGGAAATAACCACATAACACAGGGCCCAGGAATTGTCATCAAACTCTTGCTGGGACACAGTGCATCAGATTAGTCGTGTGTAGGGGGTTCCTTGTGTATAATACATTTATCTGAGAGTTGAGTGCAGGGAAAAATTTGTCTCTCTGAAATCACTGGCCTGATTCTTCCAATCAGGCTACAGCAGTAGCTAATTTTTACACAGAATTTGCTAAGTGACAGACCTGCTGTAAGAACCGAATATGAGCCCTGGCTGGTATAGCTCAGTGGATTGAGCGTGGGCTTGCATAGCAAAGGATGTCGGTTCGATTCCCAGTCAGGGCACATGCCTGGGTTGCAGGCCAGTTCCCAGCAGGGGACACATGAGAGGCAACCATACACTGATGTTTCTCTAACTCTCTTTCTCCTTCCTTTTCCCTCTTTCTAAAAATAAATAAAATCTTTAAAAAAAAAAGAACTGAATATGCCTTAACTCACTTAATCCTCTCAATGACCCTAAGCTAAGAGAGGGGTGTTTATTATTATATCATCCCCATTTTTCAGATGAAGAAACAGAAGCATAGAGAAGTTATACAACTGCCTGAAGTCACATGATTAGTAAGAGCTGGGCTTCAAAAAACACAGTCCAGCTCCAGGACCTGCGTTTCATCACATGTTTACGACTTCCCATACGATCTGTATCTCATCCTGTTTCCCTCTTTGCTTTGACTGCCGGGAAACTCAGAACCCCGGTTTTTGCTCTGTCACAGCTGCTAATCTGAGAAAACTTAGCCTAGCATTTCTGCTATCATTAGTCAATTTTTCATCTTTCTTCTCTTCTTCTCCACTGGCCTTTGGCCCAGACTTTCATTACTCTTTCATTCGTTCTCTTTAATTATCCATCAAATAGGCTTTGAGGCTGCAATGGAAACCACCTCAAAACCATTTTGGAATAGGCAGGAAACAATGCCCCAGTGAGATGAACAGAGACTATTTCTGACCAGCCGAGCCACCTGGACACGGTCGGTGCCAGACGGATGTCTTTAGAGCATCCCCTGAATGATTGCCACCGAGCTCCATGATGTGGAAGGTAAAACAATGAGCCCACGTTAGTCCCAGTGGTAGTTGAGTTATGCTAACTGCTGTAATAGTGAAAGCCTGAGGTTGCAATACCTAAATCCAATAGAATCTAGTTCAACGTGTGCCCCATTCAGTCAAGTGACTGCATGAGACCCAGACTGACCAGGGCTCTGCCACATTCAACATGTGGTTTCCAAGGTCCCCCTGGGGTTGGCATCCGGTTGGCAGATGGGAGAGAAAAGGGAGAATTTAGAGAAAGCAGACACACTTCTTAACTTGGATTTGGAAGGGAAACATCTTTGTGAACAACTGACTTTGTTTTGACTCACAAGGAACTTAAAATTATTGTGCCACCCACCCTTGGAAAATGTCTAAGGAGACCACACAACATGTTTAGTGGTCTTCCTTCATCTACAGGGAAAACGGAGCGTTTATATTTTAGACCAAATGTATTTATCCAGCAGGGGAATGGGCCGTTATGGGAGAGAGAAAGTTCATCGTGATGGGAAGTATTCAAGCAGAGGCTGACTTTTCACTTGGCTAAAGCTTCTAGAAGAAGTCATGCTAAATACCTCCTATCAGTTATAACTTTGAGCTTCTGAGCTAGGCTCCAAGGTCATCTCTGAACACCTGAGCACCTGTTTTGTGCCAAGCTCTAGCTGGGGCTTTGGTGACCTAGGAACAAATGAGACAAGATGCTGCCCCTTGGGTTGCTCAACTGTAATGAGTTGAAGCAAGATATCCGGGAAGCAGGAGAGTAGAAGGGTCTGAGCTTTGGCAACAGGAGACTGGAGTTTAATTCCTAGCTCTGTTGCCTTGTGGCTGTGTGACATTGGAGAAGCTACTTGGCCTCTCTGGTCCTCAGTTTCCTTATTTATTTTACATATTTTACTTTTTAGAGAGAGGGAAAGGGAAGGGAGAAAGAGAGGGAGAGAAACACTGTGTGTGGTTGTGATTGTCTCTCACACACCCCCTACTGGAGACTTGGCCAACAACCCGGGCAATTACCCTGCCTGGGAATCGAACTGGCAACCCTTTGGTTCGGAGACAGGCACTCAGTCCACTGGGCCACACCAGCCAGGACAGTTTCCTCATTTATCAAATAGGTATAATATTTATCTTCATAGATAAAGGACTCAGTGAGTCCATAGATAAAGGACTCAGATTCTGAGGACTCAGTGATCAAATAGTTTTAGGGCATTTGTAGTACAGGTCTTCCTGGTATGTAGTAAGTACTTTATTTTATTAGCAGTAATATTTGTATGATGACCTTGGGTAAGTCGCTTTACTGTTTAAAGTCTCCGTTTTCTCATCCGTAGGATGGAGTTAATAAACTCACGCCATGGGGTTGGACTCTTGTGGGGTCCGGGCGCGGGGGGGGGGGGAGGGTTCCTGCGGTCTCAGCTTCCTCGTGGGGTAAGTGGGTCGCATCACACCAGCGGTGAGGATCGCAGACCCGCCGCCAGCACCGTTCAGGCACCGAGGAGGAACCGGAGTGAACAAGGACGCGGCTGCCTGGCTGCGCTCCCGGGGAAGGAGGTTTGCGCTGGGTCCCATCCCCCGGCCGGTCCAGCTCAGGAAACGCGGAGAGAAAGCCAGGAACCAGGCCTGCCAGGCCCCGCGGCCCCTCAGCGCCGTCCCTCCTCCCCCGTCCTCGACTGCAGGAAGCCGGCTGGCGGGAACGCCCTGCCGGGTGGGTGGGAAAGGCCGAGAGCTCGCCGCCCCGCCGGCTTCCCAGGCGCGGAGCTGTCACTGCGGCAAACGCGCCGCCCTCCCCCCCGCCGCCCGCCCGCCAGCGCTCCTGGTGCATTCTGCCCAGTAGTATTTCGTGGAAGTGCTGCAGCCCGATCCCTGGGCGGCCGGCCGGAGCGGAGAGCTTGTGTCCTGCAGGCGCCATCGCCCCCCGGCACGGAGCCCACGCCGCTGGGGCTGGGCTGGGGAGGGAGAGGTGTCCAGCCCTCTCTTTTGGGAGATGAGATGCTGAGGCCTGAGGAGGGTTTGTAGGTGAGTGGTCCAAGGTCATGGCTAGAAAACAACAGAGCTAGGATCAACCCGTGCTCTGTCTGGACTCTAAAGTTTGTGCCTGGGGTCTGTGGTCCTGATCCAGCTTCTTGAGGGGTTCAGGGGGGTCAGGTTCTTGCGGAAGTTCAAGAACAGGAGGTCAGAATCTGGGGGCTATTGATGGCCTCCCAGAGGTCGGTAAAGCCCTTGGTTTTGTGTGTAGCACGTTGTGTATTGCATTTTTGCTCAGAGTTTCAGAGGTGCCAGTGAGCCCAAAAGGGTTGAGAGCCACAGCTTTCCAAGGCCTGCAGGTTCTTCCTGCTGTGAGAGGGCCCGAGGCCCCTCCACAGTCAGTGCCATCTTGAGAGTGTCTCTGCAGGGCCCTGCTGTTACTCTGGAGGACTTGGAGTCTCTCCCAGGACCTTTCTCTGGGATCTTGAAATTCTTTCTGTGGGATCCTGGGGTGTGTCTGGGGATTTGAGGTCCCCATGGGGCCCTGGTATCTCTTTCTGAGGCTCTCAGAGTCTCACTCTAAGGAACTATGATCCTCCGTGGTATGAGTTCTAAAGCTGGGCCTCACGATCCCTACGAACCCACCGAAATTGCAGGCTTGACTTCTGTGCATTTTATACATGTAGTTTATGGAGAGGTTTCATGGATTTCACCAGATTCTCAAAGGAGGCTCCTAAACCCCAAAGCTAGGAAAAGCATTGCATTGGAGCATTCAGTGTTAGATAGACTTTGATCCCCACTCACGAACAAGAGTCACGGAAGTGTGAGATGTAAGAGATAAAAGGCAGTGTTGTTTAGTGGGTAGAACATGGGCAATGGAGTCAGGCATTCTGGGTTAAAAATCCAAGCTTTTCCCCTTACCATCTGTGTGGCCTTGAGTAATTTTCTTAACCTCTCTGAGCCTCAAATCCACCTTCTTTAGGAAGACTTCCCTGTGTCCCGGATTGAGTTAGGTCCACACTCTGTATCCCCGAACACCTCATAGCACCTGGCTTGATACTTTGTGGCACTTCATGCAATTGTTATGAAGTAATTAATCATGTTTCATGTTGTCTTGTCTCTCCAGACTTTTCTGTCTTATTGTTGTGCTGTGCCTGGCACATGTTAGGCTCTCAGCCATTTGTTGCGAAGTAAAGGAGTAAAAGGTTGGTGGGTTGCATGGCAGACGCTGCCCTGGGGGCAGAAGGGTCAGAAATGAACAAGCACCATTCCCACGCTTGAGGAGGCCCCAGACAGGTGGGGGGAGTACCATGAGTCCGTGCGAGGAAGACTCTCCTAAATGCTTTAATGGGCATGGGGGTGGGGGTGGGTAAACCCTAACAGGGATACAAGTCATGAGGAAAGCACCAAGAGACCCTAAGATGAGTGAGACTTAGACCTGGAAGAGCTGACCAAAGGACCTTTTGTGTTATGTGTTGCCACTTACAAAGCCCTTAACTTTTATAAAATATCCAGGTATGCCCTCCTTGGACAGAGATGGGGAAATCGCTGCTGAGAAGAGTTCAGTGACTTGCCCAAGGCCACCCAGGCCATCATGGCTGCCTGAATGCACAGTTCACTGGCTTCATAATTCAGCCCACGTTCTTCAGGAATTGGGCTTTGATGTTGTCAAGGTCTTGGTTTGTGTCCACTAGATGTGGCACTTTGAGCAGGTTACTTTATCTCCTTGAGTATTGTTTTCCTAACCTCATAATCTGTATGGGATACTAACTATAAAGTGTCCAGTACGATGCTTGTTTTATAGCAAAGGAGGTATAAGTGTTTGTTGAATGAATGAATGAAAGAGACATTGGTGGGTAGCCTGAAATTGAGTCGACTTAAAATCATGACTTTTGGGGGATCGTAGGGTGAATTTAGGGTGGTTTTATCCCTTTCCACTTTCACTTTCTACAAGTCCTGTGAGCCTTCATATTGGACTCAGTCACAATGTTATATCTTATTGTTTGCAAACCAACAAAAATGAACCAACCCCTTTTCCCTGATGACTAAGTAATAAAACCTCCTTATAAAAAAATTAAATTGCAGCCTTGGCCGGCGTGGCTCAGTTTGTTGGGCATTGTCCCTCAAACCCAAAATTTGCCAGTTCAATTCCCTGCGGGGGCGGGGCAACACACCTGGGCAGCGAGTTCCATCCCCTGGGGGAAGGCAACCAATCAGCGTTTCTTTCTCGCAGCAGTGTTTCTCACCCTCTCTCCCTCCCTTCCCCTCTCTCCAATAAAATAAAATATTTAAAAAATTTACATTGCAGAAAGATATAATGAGGAAAATGAAAGTGCAGATTTAGGCTCAGCAGGCTTGACGCTGACATATCATTATTCTTTGGGAGGTGGGGAAGGCAGGGGACAAGGAGCAAAAAAACTTTCTCCTGCTTAAAAGTATCTTCCACTGGCCTTGCCACGGCTCCTGGGAGTTCTGTTAGGAGTCTTGCCTTCGGCTGTAGCATTGAAGGCTCAAGTGCAGCTCAGGGCTGAGGAGGGGGCAGAAGGTGAGGATTTCTGGATAGCAGCTTTCCCTGCAATGGCATAAAGAGTGAGATGTGGCCTGTGGCACTTGCTGTGACTCAGATGCCCACTGCTGATTGGTCTGGTAGCTGCGTTTTCATCCCCTTCCTTCCCTCCTAGTGTCAAAGTAGAGTCTGTTTGGAAAGTTCCTGCTGCCGAATGGTGTCACCTCAATACATTTGATACAGAGGGGGAAAAAAACAGTTCCTGAGTTTCTGCTACACACACACACATACACAAACACACAGAGAAAAACAACTAAAAAGCAAGAAAGGTGAAAACCTATTTAGTTCGCTATATTTTATGCATGCATTAAGCATATATTAAAGTTATAACCACGGGATCACTTGTAATCTGCAACTTACTCTCGTCATTTAACAATACCCAATAGATACTTTTTCTTTTCTTTAAAAAAATATTTTATTTATTTATTTTTAGAGAGAAGGGAGGGAGGGAGAAGGAGGGAGAGAAACATCGATGTGTGAGAAAAACATCCATCGCATGAATCAGATCAGTTGCCTCGTACCCGCCCCCCAACTGGGGACCTGGCCTGCATCCCAGGTGTGTGCCCTGAGTGGAAGGAATCAAACCTTTGACCTTTGGGGTTTGCGGAATGAGTCTCAACCCATTGAGCCACACCACTCAGGGCTAGATGTATTTTCTTTCCTGTTCTTGAAAATCTACCTCATTCCTTTTACCAGTTGAGCTTCTTGAGCTCAGGACTATTAGTTAGCCCTGCAGCCCAGAGGCCAGCTCATGAGAGGCCTTACTGGGAGGACATCTTGAAATAGTTATAGCAGCCACCATAAACTGTCGCAAACTAGGTGCTGTGCTTTGAACTAAGCTCTTTCACATGTTATTTCATTTAATTCTCATGGCCACCGTATGAGATAGGGACTCTTTTTATTCCCACTTTTCAGATGAGAAACTGAGGCACAGAGACTTGGAAGTCCAAGGTTACAAAGTGGTAAGTGGTGGAGTTGAAATCTGAACCCTGATCTGTCCTGTGACAAAACTTTGGTGTGAATAAATGAATAAGTGGTTGATGCGGTCGTGCATCTTGGGGAGGTAGCTCTGTCTTCAGAACCTCCCCTGAAGTCCTGTGTTCTCTCTTCCATGGGTTTGCAGTGCTTGTAATCAGCATCAGAGCAAAAGGAAGGACTCAGTAAAGTCCCTTTTTCTGTCTGTAGCAATCCTGTGGCCATGCCTGCTTTTCATGGGAAGAAGCATTTTTGAATTTCCTACTCTAAAAATAAGCCTTAATTTGTTCAGGGCCCTTGAGGATCAGCCCAGGCATTTCAGGACAGCCATTTGCCTGTCCGCAGAGCAGGAAATTAATCAGAATCCCAAAGCCCTCTCCCTCTTCCCACAGGCCAGTACTCTGGAAACGCCCAGGGCCTTGCTGCAGTCCTCCTGGAGGATTGCGGAGATGCCAAGGGCAGTTTAACACAGATCCATCACTCTGTAAGGAAAGTGAGAGGAGAAAGGCATGAGGAAGAAAGGGAGAAATGGGTCAGCTCTGCTGCAAAGAATTTGCAGAGAAAACTCGCAGCTGTCCCCACCTTTGAGGAGTGGCAACGACAGAGATACCCTGGGGTGTCAGATGTGACTCTGTAGCATCCCCCTGGGGTCTAGAAACTGGAGCATCGGTTGCCTGTTCCAACCACAACCCTCTGCAGGGCCACTTTCAGGGAGCCTCTTTTTCCCTAGGATTTAGGAGTCTCCTGCTATCTAATGACTAGGAGATTACCACTAGGGGCGCTATGTTGTATTTCATGCTAGAAGAAATATTGATGATGATAAGAATAACAAAAATAAGAATGACAGCTGCATAGTTTGTGGAACATGTGTGGGCTCTGGCATCAAGGGAGGGAGGAAGTGCTAAGAAACAAAAGGAAGATCAATTTGATCCAAGTCGAAAATGTGCTCACAACCGGGTGAGAGTTAAACACAATGCCATGGATATTCAAAGCAGGGAGGGTCAACTTCTGGCTGGGGAAAACTAGGCTATGTTGAGATGAGACAGCAAGGGAAGAGAATGAGCAATGGGGCAGATGTGGGAAAGCAGTGGGTGTGCTAGAGGAAGTTTGGATAAACTCTACAGTGGGTATGTGTGTGTGTGTGTGTGTGTGTGTGTGTGTGTGCGCAAAGGTAGGAAGAGATCAGACCAGGCCAGGGATTTTGGCTTTATTACATAGGCAATAAGGAACTTACACAAGAGATGTCTCAAGAGACCAGCTGTGCTGCTGCAGTCGGAGAGGAAGCAGCCCTCAGAATATCTATGCCCCAGCTTGTGAATACAGCTCTGTGCCAGTACGTGGGAGGGCATCTACCAGGAGTCTCTGGCCCTGTCCTGTACCACGTCGGGTGTGGGTCTTGGGCTACCTTCAAAAGCGCCCCTCCCCATCTCTCTGGGCTCTAGGTACCTTGCGCATAACAGGTCCACAGGAAACGTGTTATAGAATTATTGGAGGGGCTCTTGAGATTATC